TACTACTACTACTACTGCTACCATTACTACTACTGCTACCATTACTACTACTGCTACCATTACTACTACTGCTACCATTACGACTACTACCATTACTACTACTACTACTGCTACTACTGCTACCATTACAACTACTACCATTACTACTATCACTACTACTACTGCTACCACTACTTCTATTACTACTACTACTACTACTACTACCACCATTACAACTACTACCATTACTACTACTACTACTACTACTACTGCTACCATTACTAGTACCACTACTACTGCTACCATTACTAGTACTACTACTGATACTACTGCTACTACTGCTACCATTACTAGAAGTACAACTACTGCTACTACTATACTCTTACAGAATTAGTGATGCTATTTCTACTATTGCTACTACTTTTATTTCTACCACTACATCTGCTATTGCTATTCCTACTGCTATAGTGTTAATACTACAACTACTGCCATTTACTACACGCTACTAGGCTACTACTGCTACCACTAACTACTAGTACTGCTACTACTAAGACTATGTATGTGTTGTTGAATTATGAGCAATCCTGAGTTATAGTAACTATTAAAGAAGCAGACATACAGAACTGCGTGGAGATGAGGAAAGGCACATAGACGTTGCCATCAGTGGCTTTAGGCCACAGGCAGCCTCGTGCTGTGCAGGGATCAGCGTTCTGCAGACCGGTTGGCATTGCTATGTCTCCAAACATCACTAGAGGCTCATCTAAGTTCTTTCCTGCAAAATGACAGAAGGATGGAGGAGAGAATGTTTTTGTTTACTGTACAACATTTCTTTTTCTTGATTCCACGATTCTACTTACAGCACTGTAACACCAACATTATGTATTATTTCTAAAGTTTGAGTGAATATTTTTGTTCTATAGTTTAGTTCTCAATTACTATACATTTGCTGCTAGATTATTTTGCTACAATTATTTCAATAAAGGACTGAATAAAGCAGTTGCGACTTACCAACATTAGCATTGGCCTTCTCTAACAGCGTGGAGACACTAAAATCCTCCTCCTCAATGGTGTTGCCTGCAGAGTAGAAACAGTTTGTTCATGTATGGTGATGTAAGACTGCATATTTGTACAATTTTGTTGTCTGGAAAGTAGCCATGTCTTACCAGAGTACTCATTACTCTTTTCAAAAGAGGACTGTAACAAGACACAAGGCAAAACAAATTGGTTAAATACAGTTGGAAACCTGAAAAACTACACTGTAAAAAACTGTAATGTTCTGGCAGCTGTACTTATTTCATTGTGAATTGTCACAAATGTTACGTAATTTTAGAAATCTATTAACAGTCATAGACATGTTCTTTTAATAAATAGCAATTTTATGATAATTTACAGTTACAGATTTTCCATTTTAGTTTACTTTATACATGTAAATTCACAGGCTAATTGTAATTTCATTAATATTTTCATGGATTTAAAAAATACAGATTAAATCTGTAAAATAACAAGGAAAACCCCCATAAAATTACAGATTTTCTTTTGCATTGTACCATTTATTTTCTGTGCATCTTTCAAGGCAGAGAAATGAAATGCT